CATTGCGGCTCGAATTGACGAAAAATTTTGAGTGAACAAAGTCCTCGTGGATTCTGGGGCAGCTATCAATATTATGCCCAGTTTTTTACTGAAAAAGATTGGGAAATCCGAAGATGATTTGCTCCCACACAACTTGGTACTAACGGACTACGAAGGGAAATCTTCAAGTTCCAAAGGAGCCCTAATCATCAACTTGAGAGTTGGATCTGTTTCTCGAGCAACCATCTTCGTAGTGGTAGCTTCTAAGGCAAGTTATAATCTATTGCTCGGGAGAGAATGGATTCATGGGGTTGGGGCAGTACCTTCGTCACTCCATCAGAAACTATGTCTTTGGAATAACAACGGAGTGTTGGAATACGTCGATGGAGATCAGAGCTATTTTAAGGCTGAAGTTCATGTAAGCAGTCTCGATAGCAAAACTTTCGACAAGTATTTTGCCAACATTGCGCCACTCTGTATAGAAGATATAGGCGACCCTCATTTTGGCTGAAATCCTCTCCTACCAAATGCTCGCGAAATTCGACACCAGATTCGCCTAGACCATTCGGTGGGTTTTTACGGCTTCCAAGAAATAGTGGAGGCCGAAAAGAATGGAAATGAAGAGTCTTGAAAAGAGCCTTTTGGCTCGAATTTCGGCTTACGTAGCCGAAAATAAAATAAAAACGGCTCTCGAAGCCGGAGATACTTTGGAGGCCGATAAAATTAGTTCGGCCATAAAATCACAAAAAATTGAAGAAATCTCGGTCCATAAAGCCGTAGACCCAATCCAAGGCCATGCAGATATCAATATGGTCGAAAGTTCGATTCATCTAGCCGAAAGAAGAGAAGCGGCCCTAAAAGTGGCCGAAGGATTGGAGGCCGATTCACCATATTCGGCCATTAAGACAAATTCGGCTTATCTAGTCGAACAAAGGCACACAGAACTCGAAACATGTGTGATTCAAGAAGAATCAGTTCTAGAGACCGAAGGTAACGATGTTCGGCTTGATTGTATCTACGATGATGCACCGATTAGCTTCGAGAAAGATTCAGCTCGAAAAGGGCCAAAAATGGAGGCACAAGATCCCTTAGAAGAAGTGAACCTTGGAGATAAGAAGGAGCCGAGGTTAACTTTCATCAGTAAATTGGTCGACGAAGAAGTGAAAGACCAATTAATCAAGCTACTAAGGGAATTTAAGGATTGCTTCGCCTAGGATTATGACCAGATGCCAGGCCTTTCGAGGGAATTAGTCGAACATCGACTCCCAATTCGACCTGAAAAGAGGCCAGTAAAGCAACCACCTAGGAGATTTGCGCCAGAGATTTTGCCAAAAATCAAGGAAGAGATCGAAAGGCTCCTTAGAGCAAAGTTTATTCGTACAGCCAGGTATGTTGACTGGATCTCGAACATAGTACCTGTGATTAAGAAAAATGGATCTCTTAGAGTTTGCATTGATTTTTGAAATCTAAATACTGCTACACCAAAAGATGAATACCTTATGCCAATAGCCGATATGTTAGTAGATTCGGCAGCAGGTAATGAAATTTTAAGTTTGTTAGATGGATATTCAGGGTATAACCAAATTTTTATCGCTGAAGAGGATATATCGAAAACAGCTTTTCGATGCCTTGGGGCTTTAGGAACTTATGAATGGGTAGTAATGCCATTCGGATTAAAAAATGCTGGAGCTACATACCAGAGGGCAATCAACACTATTTTTCATGACATAATAGGCGAATTTTTGCAAGTTTATATTGATGATATTGTTGTGAAATCTAAGTATAAAAGTGACCATGTTGGTCATCTTCAACAAGCATTTGAAAGAATGCGAAAATATGGCTTGAAGATGAATCCTCTAAAGTGTGCTTTTGGTGTTATTGTAGGACAGTTCCTTGGCTTTATTATTCACCAAAAAGAAATTGAAATCGACAAGAATAAGGCCAAAGCAATATATGAGACACAAGCCCCTTCGACTAAAAAACAACTGCAATCGTTGTTAGGGAAAATAAATTTTCTACGAAGATTTATTTCCAACCTTTCTGGCAAGGTTAAAATCTTCTCACCTCTATTGAAGTTAAAGAAAGAAGAAGAGTTTCGATGGGAGGTAGAGCATCAAGCTGTTTTCGAGGAGATAAAGCAATATCTGACAAAACCACCAGTAATGGTTCCGCCAAAGAAAGGTTTTCTCTTGAAGTTATATATCTCGACATCAGAAGAAACTATTGGGAGCATGCTAGCTCAAGAAGACGAAAATGGTGTCGAAAGAGCTATTTATTATCTTTGTCAAATGTTGATAGGTGCAGAATCTCGATATAGTCCAATCGAGAAATTATGTTTGTGTCTATATTTTTCTTGTGAGAAATTAAAATATTATATTAGGCCTTTTGATGTACATGTTTATTCACATCACGATATAATAAAATATTTCTTGTCGAAACCTATCCTTCATGGTAGAGTTGGAAAATGGGCATTGGCTTTAACAGAGTATTCTCTAATTTATAAACCACTAAAATCTGTAAAAGGCCAAGTCGTTGCTGATTTCGTTGTTGATCATTCGATTCCAATCAAAGAAGTAGATTTTATAAGTCTAAAGTCATGGAAATTGTACTTCGATGGATCTAGTCATAGAAATGGAATTGGAATTGGAATACTGATAATTTTACCAGACAAAATCCCAACGAAATTACTCTTCGAGATAAAATCGGCTTGTTCAAACAATTAAGCTGAGTATGAAGCATTATTAGCTGGACTTGAAATACTGTTAAATTTCGGGGCAAGAAATGTAATCATTCGAGGAGACTCTGAGTTAGTAATAAAGCAGCTAACCAAAGAATATTAATGTTTAAGTAGAAACCTCGTCAAATATTGGGTAAAAGTGAATAAGTTATTACAAAAATTTGACGAAGTCATTCTATAACATATTCCTCGAAACAAAAATCAAGAGGCCAATGAATTAGCCTAAATTGCCTCGAAATATAGAATTTCGAGTGAAAACCTGGCAAAATTAACAGAGATAAGGGAGAAGTTAGGGTCAACAAACCTTGAGATCTTAAACATAAATGACTTAACTGACCAAGATTGGAGGAAACCTTTAGTCAATTATCTCAAGGACCCCAACATTCCAACTGATCGAAAAATAAAATTTTGAGCAGTTAACTATATAATTGTGGTTGATGAATTGAATAAAAGGGGTGTTGATGGCACTTTACTTCGATGTCTCAGCGAACATGAGGCTTATATTGCCCTGGCAGAAATCCATGAAGGGATCTGCGGAGCTCATCAAGCTGGAGAAAGAATGAAATGGATGTTATTTCGAGAAGGATTGTACTGGCCCTCGATGATTAAAGATTGCTTTGACTACGCAAAATCTTGTGAAGAATGTCAAAAGCATGGTAATATTCAACACGTTCCAGCTTCAGAATTACATTCAATAATTAAGCCATGGCCTTTTCGAGGCTGGGCTCTGGATTTAATTGGCCAAATTCATCCTCCTTCAACAAAAGGCCATAAATATATCATTGTAGCTGTCGACTATTTTACGAAGTGGGCTGAGGCAGTTCCATTGAAAGAAGTTACTCAGAGTGATGTTGTTAATTTTATCGATGAATATATAATTCATCGATTTGGTATACCAGAAACTTTGACAACAGACCAAGGAACTGTTTTTGTAGGTCGAAAAGTAACTCAATATGCTGAGTCCTTGAATGTAAAAATGATAACGTCGACCCCATATTATGCCCAGGCCAATGGACAAGTGGAGGCAGTAAATAAAATTTTGATTAAGTTAATTAAAAAACACATTGGATCAAAACCAAGAAATTGGCATGACACTTTAAGCCAAGTATTATAGGCATATAGGAATTCTCCAAATGAGGCCACGGGGACAACCCCATTTTGACTTGTTTATGGCCATAAAGCCGTTTTACCTGTTGAAGTGAATCTACAATCAGTTAGATTACGGCGGCAATTCGAGTTACCAAGTGAAGATTATTGGGCCTTAATGTTTGACGAGTTGAATGTCTTGGATGAAATTCGCTTAAGTGCCTTAGAGAAAATGATTCGACAAAAAGAAAGAATTACGAGGTCATATAACAGAAAAGTACGAGGAGGGTTTTTTAATACTGGTGAATTAGTATGGAAAGTAATTTTACCGTTCGACAAAAAATTAAGGAAACTTGGAAAATGGTCACCCAATTGGGAAGGCCCCTTCGAGATTGAAAATGTGTTTTCAAATAACGCGTATTCAATTCGAGAACTTAGATCTAATAGTCGAATCATGTTGATTAACGATAAGTACTTAAAACCATACAAATCAGAAATACATGAAGTAAAAATAAGTCAAGGCAAATAAAAGATAATTCGAGTAATAAAAAGGCCAAATGAATAAATATCATTTAAAGCAGAATTCGAGTATTTACATTAAAATAACTACTAGAATTCAAAGGAAAATACATGAAAAAATCAAAAAGGAGGCTTCGAGCACATTTTAGTGTAAACGACTCTCAAATTTTGATATCTGGTTTCAAGAGCTGTACATTGTGCATCCAGACTCGAAATATCCTCCATAGCTTGAGCTCTCTCGATAGTCAGGGTCTTCACATTTTCTATAAAAAATTTTCTTTTCTTCTCACAAACCACACTAGCCTTTTTCAGCATCTCTGACTCCTTTCGAGCTCTTTCGAGTTGTTTCTCTAAGTCAACGATTCTAGCATCAACCTCTTTCTGCTTCATATCGGCATTAGTAGCCGATTCCTTTAGCTTGACCAACCCAGTTCGAGCCTCTTTTAATTTATTAGAAGCAAAGTCCTGCAGTGATCGAGCTTGATCTTGTTTAGAACCAACTATAGCAGTTTGGTCTATAATTGCTAAAGAGTCGATGAAAAGAGATTCAAAACGTTGGAGCCCTTCAGAAAAAATCGAAAGCTGAGCCTTCAACGAAGAAAGTAAACCTTTGATCTTGGCAACCAAGACCTTATCAGTTGGAAGGTTCTTCATCATTGGCGCATCAAAGACCAAGGACCTAAGCTCTTCGAGCATTTTTTTCAGTTGATTCAGTAGGCTTGGAGATTTCTGAATGTGACCCTGAAGGAGTATGAGATGAAGAGGAAAAAGTGAAGGTACCAGCCAAAATTTTGTCGATGGCCCCCTCTGGATCTTCCTCTACCATAGCGTTAAAATCATCCAAGTTCATTTCTGAGTTAATGGATGATGCTGATGGTATAACCTCAATGTTGGGAGGACCTTCGACAGAAATTTGGGGGTCTTTAGGGACTTGGTTTCCCTCTTCAGCTATATTCTCCTCAACTTCATGTAAGGGCCCCTCCTCTTCTGATTGATATGAAACAACATCAACCTCGGGAGAACCTAGAGGCGGTGTTTGTCGAGATATAGGAGACACCTAAAGAAAAAGAAGTTAAAAAATTCACAAGTATGAAGACCAAATTTCGAGTAAAAGGATGCCTTACCTCAGGAGCCAGCTCTGTTTGAGCTTGGTCTTCAGAACTCGAGCTAGAAGAGCTCGAAGAAGTATCCGAAGAAGAACTCGAAGATCCAGAACTCGAGGAAGAAGCTGCCTCGTTCCCTTGTTGGGCAGTAGTTGCAGGTTCTTTTCTCGAGATTTTTTGAGACTCCTCAAGGATAGGAGTCAAACGTTTTTTAGGGTCTTTTCGGACCCTAGGGGGTGAATTGACACTCGGAGTGTCATCAGTCGAAACCTGCCACAAAGAAAAGGATAAAAAATTGCTCGAAAAGACAGAATAGTACTTGAAAAAAGATAAAATTTACCTCCACTGATGGAGCTGAAGGTTGATCAGGTGTCTGCTGCACAGGAATTGAAGCAGTCATCTCGATAGAAATCTGGGGCTTGGTAGGAGTCTTGGTCTTAGGAATGGCCTTAGCCTAAGAAAAGAAAAGAAGCAGGCTTATAATCTAAACCCATGTCGAGAATTAATTAAACCCAAGTCAAAATAAGTTACATTAGATACCCCCGAGGCAGCTTGGGATGTAGACGAAGAACCCTTTTTAAGGGTTGTTGAAGGAGAACCTTTTCGAGTAGATTTTTATTTTTTCTTAGGAGGCTTATCCTCCTCCCAATCCTCTTAGTCATATCGACCAACAAAAGGTTCTGTGGGAAGAGCTGCAAAAAAGCTTGAGAAGTCAAAATTAAATAAAAAATATAGAAAGGCATTTCGAGAAAAAAACAGGATAAACCTTACCATCTTTAAACTTTGTAAGGATTCTCACATCCCGAATATCAAGGTGAAGAGGGTAAGGGTAAGTTTTAAAAGAAAATCTTGAAGTTGTTATTTTACTTCAAGGAGGGGATAATTCATTCAAAAGAGTCGAGGGTAAATCGACCCATTTAGGAGAAATTATGGGTAAGGCCAGAGCAAAATTACAGTTTGGTAAAGGGGGAAAGGTTGGTCAAAATTTTTTGAAAAGAATATCTTCTATAAACTGGTCAAAAGAATGAAAAGCATTATATTTATTTACTCTTTCTTTGGTTTTCTCTTTTAAAGAAATGGCAGCTTCAAAAATGGTTTGAGATATTCTCCGTGGTAAGTAAATAACTTTAAAAAATCGCTCTAAAGATTGAATTTCTCGAATGTGCGTACCTCTCGTCTTGGCCTTTGGATCCCCTTTCTGAAACATAGAAAAAGTAGAAGTCATCTTCTGGTTGCACGCTTCGACAGAAATTTCGTGATGATTATAGTAATTGGACCACCAATTCTGGAAAGCATGGGTACAATAGAGCGATGGCTCGAATTCAAAAGATGAAATTTCAGGCCTACGTTTGCGGAAAAAACTTATGGCGTCATTTAAGTCTTTAATGCTATTTCGAGCATTTTCTAAGAATCCACGGCTGGATTCATCTAACATAAACGTAGGCATTAATTGGCTAAGGCCAAATTGTCGAGCTACGAGGTTTGGTTGATAGGTGACCACCTGATTACGCCTCGGGGTGAAAGTACAAAAATGAAGTTGACATGAAAGAAATTGTCTCCATGTCATTAAAGCCTCAGATTAAGCACTTGGTGTTCTCGAAGGAAAAGGGCGCTTAAACCAAATTGGCCCTATTTTTCGAGCAAAAAAAGGGGAAAGTTGAGGAGTAAAAGATTAAAGAGACAAGAAAAAGTTGAAATATTGCCTAAAAGCATTACAATAATGTTTTTTGGCTACATTCGTAGTCAAAAAAGTTAAACGGAAACCCTCAATCTCTCGAGAAATATTGGGTGGCTCAGAGCTTTGTAAGTTTTCTTCAAAAATAGCGTTCAACCAAAGCTGAAGTAGTCAAAAGGGCCCACTAATGATTGAAGGAAAATCATTAGATCTAAATGAAGCCACTGCTTCATTTAAGTTCTCATACAAGTTTCCTAATATAAGTTTCCCAAGGCATATCGAAGACTCTTCGTGTAGCAATTGGGCCAAAGTAAGTAGTGTCTTTGGCACTTGGAGCGATCTCGAGCAAAAAACATAGGCAGAAAGCCACAACATCAGGAAGGCAACATGCTCTTCATCCGTAACAGGACCATCTCGATTCATATTCAAGGTTATGAAGAGTTGGTAAGAAAGCTTTTGGAAGTTGGGAGTCACATCAGGATTTTTTGGATGAGAATCTGGTCAAAACGAAGGACCAGTTGGCCTAAGCCCAAGAATGGCAGCAACATCGAAAAGAGTTGGGGTAATCATACCACAAGGCACGTGGAAAGAGCTAGTTGCTCGATCCCAGAAGAAAAGAGAACTCATGATCATAGGGAAGTTGTAAGACAGATTGTACCTACATAACTGAATGATATCATAGATTCCCATGGCCCTCCAACTATCTTGTTTTTCACCCTCAACTCTATCTAACCAAGGCAAATATAAGTCTTTGGTTACAGGAGGCATAGTTCTAAAGATTTTTTGGGCATTCTCGAGAGAGTCTAAGTTATATTTGGAAAAGAATGCCAAGACCCCATCAGCAGAAAAAGAAGACTCGACAGATGACTGGGGAACAAAAGGACCTAAAAATGCATGAGGTTTCGAGCCTAATGAAAAGGGAATAAGTACCTGAGATTTCCAAATAGCCAATTTCTCCTCCTCGAGAGGTGACTCAGGAAGGTAGCTCGAATGACCCAGAGGCACGAGCTCAGCACTGGAAAAAGCAGAGGGAACCTTAGACTTGGAGGCCATTTCGACGAGAAATAGGGAAGATGGGGACGAACTAGAATAAATTTCGACACAAAAGAAGCAGAAGAGAGAGAACAGAGCTCTAAGTAGGAGAGTAAAAACGAAAGCGTGAAAAATGAGAAGGTAACTTCGCTTTTTATACTGGTCCCCTACCTCGTGCAAGGCCCATACAAGAGCCCAAGTTCAAAGCATTTTGGCACTTAGTGGGAAGATAAAGAGATAGTGGGGTGTCTTTTCGATCTAAAATGGCCTTAAATCCCCAACAGAACGGAGCACGTCTCAATAATGGGACATTTTCGGTAACTGCCACGTAGTACCTGCATTTAATGCGCCGACTTTGGACAACGTGCCTAACATAAAGCAGGTAAGTAGCAGAGACGCCATAAGAAATGGCGAGAAAATTAGAAAATGAAAAATTTTCAATTAAATATCAAAATAAAAAATATTAAATCTCATTAACCTGAGATATTAATATTTTGGGGGGCATCTGTTTGGGATAATGAAAAATTTTCTAAGTTGAAAATCGTCTCGAAGGAAACTACATTTCAACAAGTTTTGGGGGTCAAGAAGGAGCCAAAGATAAGCCTGAACATAAGAGAAATTTGGAAGATTTGTGGTTTTAATTAAGAGGAACACATTTCGAGCTATTTTAGGAGATTTTTGTCACATTGTTGATTTTTCTCTAAACTGCTTGAAAAACAAGAAAATATTCCAAGACCACAAAACTAAAGGCCTTTTCGAGAAGTTTTGAGGAGTTTTTAGTCACTGACACCCAAAACTACTTGAAAAATAAAACTGGCAAGAAAATATTCCAAGTCCACAAAACTGATGATTTTTCGAGGAGTTTTTAAGTCCCTGACACCCAAAACTGCTTGAAAAATAGGACTAACAGGAAAATATTCCAAGTCCATAAAAACTGATATCTTTTCGAGGAATATTTGAGGAGTTTCCAAGTACCTGACACCCAAAACTGCTCGAAAAGCAGGAAGTGGTAAGAAAATATTCTAAGTCCACAAACTTGGCTGAGCTCCAAGATTTCCTCCAGAATTGCTCGAAAAATAAGAAGTGGTCAGAAAATATTCTAAGTCCACAAAACTGGTCGAGCTCCAGAGTCCCTCCAGAATTGCTCGAAAAACAGAAATGAGCAAAATGTTTTAAGTTCACAAGACCAAGACAAGCTCTCAAAACTCCAGGATGGCTCGAAAAGAGAAGTCAAGAAGAAACTATTCTAAGGCCATAACATTAAAAGAGTCTCCTAGGTTTTTCTCAGAATTACTCGAAAGATAGGAGTATTGAAAAATCCAAAAGCGGCTACCAGTAGTTATCAACATTCACCACTACACAAAGGAGATCATGGGCAATAGCGGTTACAGCCCCAACAAAAAGCACGATCACAAGCAATCGTGGATAGTGAGCATCAACAGTTGAAGTCAGTTACCAAGAAGTGCCCGCAAAAGGAGGAGAACGGTGGTGATCTTCATGTCTATAAATACTCCAAAGCACTATTTCACGAAGGACGACTTTTTGCACCCAGACACCGCACCTAAACACTCTGAGACGCTGAAACCCTGCACCGCGCCAGATACCAGCTACAAGGAGACCTACGGTGGCCGTTGTTTGCCGTTGTGAGGAGTCGTACGTTTACATTCCAGCACCTTTACATTCCCGCATTTACCTTTCTGCATTTTAATTTCAGTGCTTGTTGCTTGTATCTTTGTACACTGTTTGTTTCCTGTTTACTACATTTTTGTAAAAGCATCCACGTTTGATTCAATTCTGCCCATTTATTATTCACTATTATTGCTTAATACTCTTTTACGCCGTTAATTTGAGCATCACGTTAACAACACACTTAAAAGAACCCAAAGAAGACCTAAATCCAGTCCCCAGATTGATCTTTGGATTATTTGTTTACAACTGTTATTTTTCACCGTAAACACTCACAAAAAAAAGTCCCAAAATTCAAAATGACTTCTTTCTTATCCATCTAGACTAGCATAGATCATTTGTAATGAAAGTAGAATTAATGGTGTTGTATAGCAATGCTTCGATAACGAAGTTGTGCTTACTAGAACGCTTCACCAGGTTTAATGGCAAGAAAAGCATGTGATAGGAAGGAAATGGTAACATGGAGTTGATAACATGATGGATGAAAATTTTTAAATGTGTTAGAAAAATAAGAAAGAAAGAAAAACTGTGAAGAAGAAAAGTTGTTTATGGCACTTGATCATCTAGTTTAATATCTCTTATAACGATACATAATACCCTTAAAAATTATATCTGGAAAAAAGAATACTTTTGATTTTCCTACAATATATAGGTTTTTTTCTCGAAAAGAAAGAGACAAATTTTATTTGTTTAGTATTGTGAATTAAAGAGTGTGATTTATATTCTGAAGAGACATCAATAATTGAAGAAGCCATCAATCTTGTAGGTTAACTACAAAGAAATGCAAAAAACTGCTGATGGATGAGAGATTTGTCATATTCAGATCAATGCTAAATGCAACAGCCACCGATAAATGATTAATAGCTTCGATTCAGATATTTAATTCACACTGCGAGTTAGGGAAAGGATTCTACTGAAGCTTTTTTCACACCTTTGTACGTGAAACAAATAAGAAAAACCCATGATTTTGTTATTTTTTGGCCATCCTTTTATGAATTGAGTTCAAATTTAACTTCCTATTTGTTGATTAACTTTGTCAAAACTCTGTTTTGTTCTTGTTGATTCTCAAAATTAGAGACATGGGCTTCGAAATCTCAGCCCAAAGACTTTCGGCCCGTGGGGTCCATGTGAACACTATTTGAACGCCAAAGCAGCATACTAGAGTGAGTAGAGAGTATAGCACACTAGGCTCTAGGTTTGACCAAAATGAATATACTCCTAAAGGGGTGTAGTATTTATTATGCATGGGCTAGGCCTGATAGCACTGACAAGCCAGGCCTCTTAACCACTGAATTAAGCACTGCCTTAAGTAGTCCACTTTCCATGCTTCCAATTACAATATCTCCCTACATTGAATTGTTTATTATTTCTTAGCCTTATATAAATGCTTTTCATATTTAAGTAAAGGGTCTTAAATGGTGCAAAAAGAAGAGGGAAACACGCAAAAGGACGAGAAAGAAGCTAATTCCGTTGAATTTTCTACTCTGTTAGACATTATCTTACAAAAAAAAACCCTACTATTTGCTATATCTCATTACTGTACATACACAAAACCTAGTTAGTAAGATGAGACCCTTATGTGCAGTCCATTTGGTGCCACAACTCTAGGAAATTTCATTAATTTATCTCCTCCTACTTCTTCCCACCTGCAATCAACATTAAATATCCCATGTCAGAAACAGCATCTATTTATTACATTAGAATTTTCAAAACAGACAAACAAGCATTTTGTCGATGGATAGTAATATTCTTGCAGAATGTACAGAATCAATAAGCAATAATATCAAACAATTCTTTTAAGTGGTGGATGAAGAATAGTAAATAAATCAACTCTCACCTATATCTAGTTACAAAGTAGTGTAAGAAAGTGGAAATTTCTGCTATGCCCAACTCCTTCCCTGGACATTGTCTGGTGCCTCCTCCAAATATCAAGAAGTGGCTTTGTGACTCTAGACTGTTACCCTGCATTTTGCAGTTGGTCATTAATTATGCTAGCATGCAAAATTTATATAAAAAAAAAACAGGAATAAGTTGTGTTACAAACCAGCCATCTCCAAGGGTTGAATGTTAGTGGATCATGATACAGAAATGGATCATAATTTATCTCTCTTGTATATACATATATTCTCCACCCTTTAGGAATCAAATAGCCTGGTAACATGCACAAAAAAGCTCTAATAAGCCTCTTGATTGCCACAAAAAGATGCTAGTTACACACACTCTTATCATTAAGAATAAAGTACGGGCCCTTCTTGATTTTTCAATCAAGAGCATAGCATTTTAAAAAATTAAAGTAATGCTAACAACCAAGAGGAATTTGTGGGAAAGGCATCTTTTTTTTCTAAATAAATTGTTATATACTAATGGAATAGTGAAATGGGTCTGGTTGGGATGTCCAATTGATGGACAATGCATGTGTACAACTACAGTATCCCTAGGGATACATTTATTTTCCGGTTACTGTTTACTTGACAAGTTTCGTTGATGCTGTAAAAGTGGCTTGAAAGAAGTATGAAAAGTCAAACAGCTTCTTGAGCCCATAAACATATACATAAATACTAGTATACAACAAGAGCTAGAGACATATACAACCCACCGTTTAGTTCCATGTCGTGGGTTGTTTTTCTCAGAACCCCATTAACTATTGTAGCTAATCTCGAGGTCTCAAAAATCACCTGCCAAAATCAAAGAGATAACCATCAAAATTTTGATTTACTCTACAGAATTATTGGAAAGAAAATTCTTCCAAGCAATGATTTTTATACATCACAATCATTAATTCATCACAAATTAAGGAATAAAAACAAATATTTTATTAAGTGAAAAATACACTCATTGTCATTATTTTTAATACATCACAATTATTGATCCCTTAACTAAGTGCCTTAAAGTAAACGGGGGTGCTAAGACCCTTTATTTTGCAAGACCCTTATTGGAAAAATTCAAACTGAAAAAAGTTAAATGAATATACATAGAAACGTCTTACCGCACGAGTAAACCTCATTGACTTGAGATCATTACAGTCAATTGGATCCTCCGGTTTTTTCCTCTCTCTTATGGCAAAATGCTCTTTCTGCAAAAGGGACATTCAGTGTTATCACAGTGAGGACAGACAATAATGGAGCATCAGCAAGATACCTAAGAAATATGAGAATATTTGCACTAACTCTGATTTCTTCAAGAACTTTGGGATGGTCATGGAGGTACTTCACGGCCATCATTGATGTAGTTGAAACAGTTTCATAACCAGAATACATAATTGTAATAATTAGATCAATGATTTCCTCATCAGTCAGTTTGTACCGATTTTCATCTCTTCTCATCAAGCAACCAAGCATGTCCACGTGCCCATCTTGGGATGCTTTCCTTTCCTCTAGCAGCTGACTCAGAATGCTGATAATACTCTTCCTTGCCTGCAACACACATTAAAGTCTATGCTTCAATGTCTGATTGAAGAAATGAAGTAGTAACATCACTTGAAGGGTCTAAACTTTCATAAGCTATTACCATCTGCAAAATACTGCTTTTTTTAATTGGAAAGTGTATCAATTCATTCTTCCCATAATTTCTAAAATGTGATTTTTAATGAAAAAAAAAATATTACTAGTAATTCTTTATCCAGTAATGTAAAGTCATTAATGGCTAAGAAATAATCTTCTAAATTAAGAATTTATCACTTTTATATACTTAAGAGCTGAGATAAAGGAAACCCAAAAATTATTTAGAACTGTAAGGTGATGTTGATTTAAGCACCAATGGGGAAAGATCAAGGACTGTACCTGTAATCCACGGCGATAATTGGTGCCGGGAAGGTCAATAGGCAGAGAGAGAGTTCCTAAGACTAGCTTAAAGAACTCATTCATGAATGGCTGAGATATTGAGCTGGATTCCATACCAGCAATCTGTTTCAGGGAAGAGAGAAATGCCATCTGTTCCAAATATTCGAGAAATTGTAGTTATATTAGGAAATTTTCCCATTTGTTTATTGAGGAATTTTGATAAGATTGATGGCAACACAAACCTCTTTAGTTTTCTCTTGAATGTTGATGACTTTGTTATCCCAATCACTCAAGTGGATTCTCATGAACTCATCAACTTTTGGTAAAAGCTGATCTCTTATCAGTGTGGGACTAATGATTGAAAGCAGTGCCCCTCTCATGTACTTATGAGTGGAGCCATGAACAGCTGCAATATTGCATTTGCCTAAGATATCTAACATGGATTGTGGGTACCCGGGAACAAGCCCTTTTGCTTCATTCATGAGTATGTATCTATTAAGCTCCGGATCCATGGATACAATGGTAGGGCAACCCAGTATGTGGGATTTAAACAAACTGCCATACCTGCCATTCACAAAACGAGAGAAGAAAAAGTTACAATCATAACCAATGTGGTAAAAGACCAAAAGTACATCAATGAACAGTATTTACCTCACCCAATTTAATTAGTTTGAGGAAATACTACATCACGCAAGAAAATGCTTTGTCCAATAGTCATGCTTTCTCTCATTTACACACACACACACACATACATTCATGATGTCTATGGCCCTACCCCACTTTCCTCTTCTCTTCACTCCATAGTCCCTACCTTCCCAGAAACATAGAAAACAAGATATAGTGCATTAATTTTACTCTTTAACAACGCTCATTGCCATCACCAAAACCATTTCATGAATCAATTTCCACAAATTTTTCCTCTTGAAAATGCAAGACGCTAGGCCTAGTACCTACAATAACCTTAAAAATTACTGTGATAAATCACAGTAGCATGCAGGGGATGCTGATGAAACAGCTTTCAATAAGGAAAATGCTAAAAAAATGGAACAAAGTCATGCTCACTCAATAGGATTAAGCTACAAGCCATGTGCCAAACTGGTGCTAAAGCAACTTTCCCACTTACACAAAGGAACACAAGAAGAAGAGTTATTTAAACACATGCACCGAACTTACCTTGTCCTTTGGTTTTTCATGAAGTTTGGACCTTGCTTAAGAAACTCAGTTGTCTCTCCAAAAACAGGCCACCCCATTGTGCCTGGAGGCAAACCTTTCCTCCTATACCTCACTTCATTCCATTTCAAGAGAGCAGAGCAAAAACAGAGCACCAAGACCACACCGAGAATTGCCATGAACAAAGCCATTGGTGCTCCCACTCCAAACTCAACTCACACAAGAGACTTGAAGATAGTAACACCTTGCTTCAATAGAAGTCACCACAAGGGTACACATACATACATATATATAGGTCCTTGAGCTACCATTTGCACATAAGAAGAATGACCATATAGACAAAAACCGCCACTCTACAGGGTAGTGGCGTTCCCTATTGTAGGCCTTGGAGATTAATTAAAAATGAAAAAGTGGTCCACAAAGAAATATAAAAAAAAAAAAAAAGAATTCGAGATTATAGGAGTGGAAAAAGGAGTTTCCTTTTGAGAAGGATTTCAGGGAGGGCACAACTAAACTCAATAGATATTAGCAATCTACAATGATTTAAGACTTGAAAAAGTATAAAACCTTAGTTGCTTTTATAAGAGGGAAGAGAAGAAATGAGAGGGAGGGCCGGTTAGAAGGATGTTGATTGATGATTGTTCAATGAAGCAGATGCTGTAAAGTATAAACTATTTACTGCTCCGCTGCTTTTTGATTAAGGTCTTGGATTTATCCATGAATCTTTTAACTTATGATTAGATGTATATAAAGTAAAATGCCATCCAATAGAGCAATTCCTTTTATTTATTTATTTTTTTACCTTTTCAATTGGGGCATGAGGATAATGAGATGGACTTGGTTTTATATTTTCCATTTTATCATAAAATTATTTGAATAATAAAATCATAATTTTATGCCAAATGTTAATTAGTGTCTCGAGGGCATCAACATAAAATAAAAGTGCAAAAGTATTATAATCAAAATAATATTAATGTAATTTTTAATTAATATTTTTAGCAATAATTTTTATTTAAGATGATGATCAAGTTATCTTACGAATAATTTTTATCAAAATTATTTTATTTAATATTTTTTATAAATTTTTAACGTTCTAACAATTGGATTGAAAATTTTATTGAATATATTAAATTTATCAAAATTTATATAAATTAAAAATTGATTAACACTTTATTAAATAACTTTATTTTAATATATTAAATATTAATTATATAATTATATATTTAAGAATGTTTAATTTATTCAAAATTTAATATGTATAATCAATGTCACATTATTTAATAATTTAATAATGAAATATTTTGATAAAAGACTCAACATTTAAAGATTAACTTGAACTTTCAAAGTTTGTTAAAATATGTAAGTCACACATTGATTGATAAGTCAACATATCACGGGAATATAAGTTAAACAACTTTATTATAAACTTGTTTGTTAAAATATAACTCCCATGTTAGTGAGTGAATAATATATCAAATTTAAATTAAAGTATCTTTAGTAATTAATTTTTCCTTCACAAAGTTTAAATTTATATTTCAGGAATAATCAAATTTTTTTATTATTCCAACCAATAAAATGTTTTATAAATGAAAGATGGTTAAATTTAAACCAAATTATAATTTATTATATCATCATAAAATAAAATGGTTTAAGGATTAAGATTCTCAACTCAAGAAAAATTGCAAAGGATCCGTTGCATGTAGATGAAATTCAAATCATAAAAAATATATTTTCATGAAATGGTATAAAGAAGCATATCTATAATTTTATCCTGAAGGCATAGGAGAAAAAGCTTAAAAGAAAAAGGCACATGCATAGCACCCCATTGGACCTAAAAGAAAAGGTTGACATAGCCAGCCCCAGCCCTTCACATGTCTATCAATAAGATATGGTCATTGAAAATGAATTAGTACATAATCCCACTACAAGACACTAGTTTTTTTTTTTTTTTTAATTACCATGTGAATAATGATTTTTAATTACAAAAATTACTTTTAAAAAAAGAATTCAAACTTATCATTTTCCTTAATATTTTTGATCTTGATGTTTCCTTGTTGCAATTTCAACCTGGGGGACTGTAATTCCTAGAGAACCATTCTTGACTTGTTGCACTGTTGAGTCTCTTGTGGGTGTGAATTACCAAACAAGTACAGCCAGATCAGTCTCAATCGTGTCCATGCAAATAAATAGATGTGTGTATAAATAGATAATACATAAACCATAACAAATAAAAATTAGCCTTGATTTTACATCTAATCGGAGATAAAGTTCCATGATTGTTATAATCACAAGAAGGGAACACGTTGTAAATTCTGGGATCATAAATTTTGAAATCATATGAGAGAGTAAGATAAAAGACAGTGGGAATTATTTGCATCTCAATTATGTAATTTGTCCAATGAAAACGAATAAAGAGTTGAGGATTTGCAGCAGAAAAAGATAAATGCTTAATTTTATGCTAATCACATCGATCAAATTAACATGAAATGGACACTTAGATTTTGCCATGAACGATTACCCCTTACTTTTCGCCTCACTGATTGCGTAAATTTGCATGGTTGAGGGACACACAAAGGACGTATTTTCCCTTTATAGATTACTAAAATTAATGAATTACTTCGTTGTTTCATATTCTGCTTTTCAAACCACTATTCGATCACTGCGTCATTATTGTGTAATTTTTCTTTACAAAATTAAAAAAAAATGCTTTCAGTAGAAATTATAAACATCATTTAGATGTTAAAACTTTTCCTTTTCAAAACAATTTCGTAAATTCTTTTTAACTAGTAAAATTGCTCAAAAAGCACGAAAAATGACAACAAAAAAAGACCGTTGACAAAATTAATTGACGAATCAACTTAAAATGTATTGTCATTTATTTAATATGAAAACTATCTTTGTTAGTATAGTTTTATTTAATAAAAAATAAATTATTAATATAAATTTAACATTTACGCTATAATTATAATATATTTTGCTAACATTTTATATTAATATAAAATTTGAATTAAATATATCACATTTTTAATTCAAATTCATAATATTTATACCCACGTTAGTTCTTATGGAAAAAAAAACACTATATTGATGCTATTTCTCTTTCAAATCGACCATCGTCCTTAAAATCATAAAAGTTAGAAACCTAAAAAAATGAAATTATAAAAGAGGAATTATATTATTTATATTATATTTTATAACATTTAAAAATATTGTTGGCACTCTTTTCATCATAATTTACATTTTTCTTTATTATTTATCTCTTACTTTATAATTTTATAAAAAAAATTTCAGTTGTACACGGACTAACAATTGGACATGAACCGTACAAAAGATGGTGGTCAATCAAAGTCATTCCATGAGGATGAGATGAAGATTGCCCTGCGATACTGTTTCAGAATGTGTCAGTTTCTTCTTAGTATTTTTTGAAAAATATGTTCTCAAATTCTTCACTATTCAACACAGTTCAATGGCAACAAAAAAGGTTCACCTGTTTACAAAACTCAGGAATTGGATTTATTTTATTTGTGTGGTTCCTTCTTAGGAGAATTATTATTCATTCATCAATATTGAATATAAATGCATGTCCAAGGAACTGAGTAGTTGTTTGATTTTATATAAAAATTAATTTCAATCATAAATTAAAAAACAAATTACTAGCTTTTAATCATAAGTTCCAAAATTTTGCATACCTTGAATAAGTTTTTATTTTGTAAAGAAAATCACAAATTTTCCAAATAAACATAAATAGTGCCTTTTAAATTTTTTTCACATAATTCAAAAAATAATCTAATTCAAACACAAACTAAATTAATAGAAACAAAAGTTTTATACATAATTTTTTAAGCGTGTGTTTATAACAACACTTGTAAACTTAAAATTAGATAAATTTAATTTTGTAAAATTAATTTTATTAAAAGTAAGTTTAAAATGACATAATTTATATTTAAAAAAAATTTTAAAAAAATTCTGTAGCAACATTTAGTATAAATTTAACTTATTTTAAATTTATCACGTTAACTAAAATATGGGATTAAGGCCAAAATCAATTTTAGTTAACTAAATATCAAAATTTTCAGTAAAATCATGTTATAATAAAATAAGTATGATATGATTCCACCATATTTCAATATAAATATTTCAAACTATCGAAGCACAATAAGCATGTAATACGTGTAATTAATTTTTATTTAGTAAAGATGTGTTTGGTTACTTACATATACAAACTCTTACACGTATTATGAGAGAAAATTGGAAAAAAATTATAGAAAAACAAGACTTTTCTCACCCTTGCAATTAACTCAAAAGAGTAAATATTATATATATGCCGTAGTTTTAATAAATATGAAACATGGTAACACACCTCATTCATTTCTAGAATTAGAGATCTGGTACTCAAATTTCATAGGATTAAACGTGTGCAAATATATCTAACATTTAATAAACTCTAAACTGTATTAAAAAAATGGCTTAACTCACTGTTGAATAGTTAAATATCATAATATATTCTTAATTAATGTGAAGGATCGTAACAAGAAGTTTTAAGTGTTAGTCCAAATGTCTATAGAATTATATTTCAACAACAAAATAAAAACTAAACTTCATACTCACCAAGCAGAGCGAAACTCGTACAGTTTTGTGCTGTGATTTCTTTTAATTATCTCTTCAGTTTTAACTTTAAACTTTGAACTTTTCACTCCTCAATCGTCATATTGTTTTTTGACATAATTGGCTTGGCTTGAAGGAGAAGACTTGTCTTCAAGTGGCACAAAAGGTAGATTGGATGGTGACCAAAAGAAAAGTGTGGATCCACGAAGAGATCCGTAGAAAGATTTTACACCAACAACGAATTATAATGCAGCCCTCCTTCTCACGTATCAGTATATCACCAATATGAAGCATAGATTATCCACAAATTAGCGTAACCTTTTTTTTCTTTTCTTTTTTTCCGTTTTCTTTAATGTGTTTCACATTACCTGACGTAGGAAATTGTTAACGTATATTATATTAATTATCTTTCCTTTCTAGTTGCTGTACAGTATTCAATCCAAATGTTAACATGTTTACTGAAGAGTGGCTGAAAAAAATCCACCGGAGAGGATCCAAAGTAGAATCTAAACATATTATAAGTGTGATTATTAGTTAATGGCCAATCTCTTACTATCAGATATAAAATTGACAATTTTAAGGTATAACTTAATATTAGTGTATAATCTATACTGTATATAATGTGATGTGCAAGGTATACATTATAGAATGTAGTGTAAACAATGTTCATTCATGTGGCATGTCAGCTGTGTTGCAGTGTGGCTAGCTAGTTGCTGATGTATTAATTAGTTTCTTATGTCAAGAGCTAGACATGCACTTCAAAACAAAATCAATTTCAATTTCAAACTTAATTCAATTTATGTCAAACATTAAGAAAAAATTTACGCCAATATACACATAAGAAGAGGGAAATAATGGTTGCCAATATGCTATAAACTACTGCCTTTAGATATCGGATAAACATGTGGCCAGGAAAATGGAG